TTGAGCCCAGCACCACTTCCGGCTTTTTTTTTTCTTTTTGCTTATGTGGTGCTGAGGAATCGAACCCAGGGCCTCAGGCATGCAAGGCAAGCGCTCTATCACTGAGCCACCTTCCCAGCCCGGATAGTTATTTTTTAATATACTTTTATTGTTAGCATTAAGGTGTTGTACAGAAAGGTTATCATTTTGTAAGTCAGGTGGTAAGGAAATTTCTTTTTTTGGACAATGTTATCCCTTCTTTCACATAGCTAGTTTTTGATAGAGCCAAGATTCTGATCCAGGAAGATGTACATTTAGAGTATGTACTTTAACAAGCACACAATAATTATCTAAATACTTGTATAAGGTTTTCCATGTGAAAAAACATTTACCATTCATTCATGAATTATCAAGTTCTGTTCTAAGCCAGAAGGACATAGAAATAAACAAAACAGACACAGCCCTGAACTTAAGAGAAATATTAAATATTAAATAAGTAATTACAAAACTGTTTACAATAAATTGCAATGATAAGTACAGAGTACTGTAAAACCTATATACTGGAGGTACCTTTAAGCAGATCTTGTGAGAGTACATATTTGTTATTCATTTGTTATTTCTTTTTCCCTTCTTAGGAAAAGTGTTTCTTTACTTTGTTCTTTGTTCCCCTTGCTTCTCTTCTAACATCCATATCTGCTTTGACCTAAATCTGGCTTCTCTGACACTAAGCCTCTTTCATTCATTTGCCATCTGTTCTCCCTCAGTCTTGGAAACACAAGATTTTGTACTCCAACAAGTTTTTAAGGTATTCCTCACACAGCCTGTAAAATGGTTTCTAGTTGATAAGTCTTGCACTTCACTATTAGAGCTTATTTTACTATTATGCTAGTGGCTGACTTTTTGAACAAACATCTAAATACCAAAAAAATACAACATAGGGTCAGGCGCTGGTGGCTCAAGCCTGTAATCCTAGCTACTGAAGAAGCTGAGATCTGAGGATCATGGTTACGAGCCAGCCCTGGCAGAACAGTCAGTATGACTGACTTCTCAGCTCCAATTAACCACCAAAAACCCAGAAGTGGCCCTGTGGCTCAAGTGATAGAACTAATTAGCCTTGAGGGAAAAAAAAAAAAAAAAGCTCAGGGACAGTGCCCAGGCCCTGAGTTCAAGCCCCAGGATCAGCACCATAAAAACAAATGAACACCCTATGTGAGCCTAGTAGCTCACATTGGCTCAAGTAGTAAATTATCTAGCAAGTAAAAGGTGCTAAATTTATTTTTCTCCTCCTCCTCTGCCTCTGCCTCCTCCTCCTCCTCCTCCTCTTCTTTTGGCTGATCCTAGGGCTTGAACTCAAGGCCTAGGAGCTGTCCCTAAGCTTTTTCAGTGCAAGTCTAGCACTTGAGCCACAGCTCCCCTTCCAGCTTTTTGGTGATTAATTGGAGATAAGAGTCTCAAGGAGGGGCTGGGAAGGTGGCTCAGTGGTAGAGCGCTTGCCTGGCATTCATGAGGCCCTGAGTTCCATTCCTCAGCACCACATAAGCAGAAAAAGCTGGAAGTGGAACTGTGGCTCAAGTGGCAGAGTGCTATGCTTGAGCTGAAGAGCTGAGCAACAGCACTCAGGCCCAGAGTTCAGGCCCCACAAGAAGAAGAGAAAAAAAAAGAGTCTCAAGGACTTTGCTTGGAACTGTGTAGCTTGGAACTGTGATCTTCATCTCTCAGCCTCCTGAGTAGCTAGGATTACAGGCATGAGCCACCAGCACCCAGCTGCTATATTCTACCCCCAGGGAGAAAGAAAGAAAGAAAGAAAGAAAGAAAGAAAGAAAGAAAGAAAGAAAGAAAGAAAGAAAGAAAGAAAGAAAGAAAGAAAGAAAGAAAGAA